CTCTACTTCTATTAATATATTAAAAATTTTCTTTTAACTTATTCACTCGCTGTTACTGCCGTTGCGTTGTGAGTCAGGGAGTGCACACGTATGTCACGCTCGCTTTGACGTGTTGCCCCGCAATGCATTGTGGGAAGAAAAAATCCAGGTGCTCAACGAAAAGAAATGTTGCATGGTAAATCATTTTTTGGAACATAGTTTTTTGGGCTTATCATGTTTTGCGGCGTTACCAGAGGACACAAAAGTAAGTTTTTAGTTCGCCTTTCTTTACTAGGTATTTCTAGTGTTTATTGTTATTTACTTTTTTGTTTTAGTTTTTCGAAACGGTACAAACCGTACAGCTATCGTGCATCTTGTGGTACAAGTCTAATATAAGCTACAGTATGTTACCCAGTATCCGGACGGTACCAGTATCCGGACACTTGAAACAAAAACTCAATTTTTGAGGCGCCCTTTTCAGTTTTCGGTAAACGAAGTATTTCGAATGAAAGCTGAACATTTCAGCTTTAAGATGAGAGTGTTGGCGATTTGAAAGCTTGCGAAACAGTCGCAGAAGACGCCGTTCTGTTCAGGTGAGTAAACTTTTCGTGGCTAATATTTACGCTGTTTACTGCGCAGTAAAATTAGTGCTGCTCAGAAAAGGGAGGGTAATGTGTGATATTTTCAAAGAAACTGTTTTATTTTTAAGGTGAAGATACGTAAGGAAGTCAGGTTTTCAGAAAGTTTATTAATTCTTCTTGAAATTCGATTTGTTTGGAATAACGGAGGCCAGAAACATTTACTTAGTTTTGATGTCATGTGCCCAGTATCCGGACAGTTTTTTCTTTGCTGTACAGAATCGATGAATAAGCTGTGTACATTATCCGGTTAAGATTTATTTAATATCAGTAACTAAAATTAAAGCTTAGGATATATGATATAGTCGTAAAATGTAATTCTACTCAACTCCGTATGGAAATTTTCTTCACTCATTCACAGGCGACTTGATTTCGTGTGCACGGGCTTGTTTCGAGTGACTGCATTTTCTATATATAACTGAAAGGGTCTAAGTTGAACCTGGAATTCTCGTACTTTCCCCACTTGTTATTGCTAGAATGGGGTTGCAACGGTCTGAAAAATGTCACAAAGGGATTAAGAGATGTAACAGAAGGAGGAATTAGTGCTAGAAAAGCAGGCTTATTGTGGGGACTGAGCATGAAGAAATCATCACTGCAGGTCAGACTAAATAGGAGAGTGACCTTTGACCGTCGGATTGAGGTCCCTTACCCAAGCTTTTTTTTTTTAAATAAAAAATGAGGAAAGAAAGTAGTTTGTAGATTGGCTAATTGAGCTTGCAAACTGCTGCTTCGGCATGTCCACGGATGCCTTCCTTAAATCAGTGAAAAAGTTCCTAGACAAGGAAGTAAGAAACATACCATTTTTAAAACAGCCACTCGCGTTCCCCACCATACCCCAGTCATTTGTTATGTTTTATTTCACGATGCTGGGTTATATTTTTGGAATCGATTGCCAGACTACTTTGCAAGTGCAAGAGAAGCTTATAAGTCGCTTGCCTGTCGAAATTTATGTACAATTACGTTGTTATTGTTGTGTCCGGATACTGGGCCAGCTGTCCGGATACTGGGCAACATAGGAGCTCTGCAAAAATATCAATTTCGCGACGGAAACAAAGGCAAAAAAGTTAAACTGTCTTTCGTCATATTAAGGACTAGATAGATTTTCTCTGGGCCAAATTCCAGAGCTCTTGCGATTAACGAAGGAAAGTTATTGCAATCTTAAACTGAAGTGTCCGGATACTGGGCAACATACTGTACGTAGAAGTTCAAGTACTCATTGTTGTAATGGGACAAGTTCACATACCATTGCTTAACTTAACTGTTTTTTATCGCAAGCTTTGGTCGAAGTCATCGAATTCTGTACGCGTCTTCGAAGTTTGTTTTTCTGTGAGATTAAAGCAAAATTGCACTGTGTTGTTCTGTTAACTTTGGATCGCTTTAATGCATTCACACTCGCTTCTCGTATTAAATGAGGACAGTAGCCTGGGACAAGGCTCCACAGTAGGGCAAAAAGGTGAAAAAAATCGGCATTCTTTTTTGCTGTGTCACCCTGGTTTTGCCTTTAATAATAATAATAATAATAATAATTTAATATTTATAAGGTGCAAAATAGCATTTAAATATATGATCTAATGCACGCAAAATCTTTTGATGAGTAACAAAAGAAGACATGTTTGAGAAAAAACATCGTGCAGAGCTTGTGCACCAGGAAAAAAATCCTGCACCGAAAAATCCCCCCCCCTCCACCCCTCCAGTAATTTCTAATGGTCTGTCCCTTCAGGAATAGAATTACTCACCACAGGTACATAAAGGTCTGTTAACCTAGCAGGGAACATATCACAATAAATCATAAACATCTTACTCCAAAATGATGGCGGTCTCTTTATTTCTATTTATTAGCCGTCTTTGCCTTTTCCCCCCTACCAAGAAGCCTCGCCCCAAATCACTTTGTTTCAGTGTTATGTTATCATTACTGCTAAAGTACATTTTGTTGTTTTGACCATTGTCATTATGCTGTAGGTAGAATTGATTTCAGGTTAAATCAGTAATGAACTTAGTATGATTCAGAATTTCCATTGTTTCATAGCCCTCATTATTCATAGGAAACAAAGGAAATTCTGGTTTACTGAGCACAGATTTTACCTACAACGAATACACTAATATTAATTTTATTGTTGGGAATTTGTATCGTACACATTGCCTGTCACTTCCTCTGCATGCAAGAATATATTTTTTTCTGTACTACCACTTCCAGGATTTTTTTCCAACAAGTTTCCCTTGCAGGAATATTTTTGGGGAATTTTCACCCCACCTCCAGTTGTCGCTAAAGGTTCGCTCCTAAAGTAAGCCCCTTACAGCAGGTTCCCTTTAATTGTTGAAGCAAGCAAGTGGCTATAATGAAATCAAAAATAGTCACAAGTGTCTTGATCCTTTGAAAATGGGGGCCAGGAAATTTGTATGGTAGTTTATGAAGAAAAGTGATACTCTAACCTCCCTGAGATGATAGTACTTAAGGCCCCTAATTAATTAAACCATTTACTCTTGTTACCGTTTTAGATTTTGCACGTTTTGGGTTCACCCTCGGATGACTATAGCTTCAAGTTGAGTATGTTTTATGGAGGCTCCTTTGATGATGGCATGGGATCTGAAAAGTATTCCTTCACCTACGCCCTAGCTCGACCGGATGGCACATGGTCATTTGTAAAACAACTGTCAGACATTGTAGATGTGGAAAGAGTAGAGGAACGAGAAAATAACGTGGAGAAGATGGACGTCACAGCTGCCTTACAGCACATAAAATCTGTCATCAAGCCTGATCTGACTCTAATCCACTTTGTTTGCCTGAAAGGAACAACAACTTTCTGGTAAGGGACATAAAGATGATGATGATGATTTTTGTTATTTTAGCAAAATTTCATAACTGAGCGGTGAATGTATTACGTGGACTGGGTAAGTGGTGGAGAAGTGGTAGCTATCGGTCTGACTGCTGTGAATATGGCAAGACAATCTAAGCAGGATCATGGAAACATGCTTCCACTGGATGAAGAAAGTCAGACGTGTTGAATTAAGTGTTACATTTAATAGCTTATACTAGCTAATAATTGGATTCTGCGGTGTCCGTAACAGAGCCTACAATTTATCTGGTAATGCCGGGGGGGTCCCGGTCTCCCAAAAAATTTTTCTTTTGGAGTGAGGGGCAGGCCCCCCTGGTCCCCTCCCCTGGATCTGCCACTGTAATGTTAAGGTATGTAAAAGTGGTGGAGAAGTGGTAGCTATAGGTCTGAATGAATAAACTTTATTTAAGTGTCAGAGTATTTAGCTAGATATTAGCTAACTGTGGACACTAAAACAACATTCCAAATACAAAAAAAAGAAAATTAAAATGGGGATGCTACGATTGTTAAAGATTTATTTTAAAATTTACAATCATTTTGAAGACAGGCAAGGTTCAGCATAAAAATCTAAAAATCTGCACTATTCACAAATTTAATATTGCTTGGTTCCAAGAAAAAAACTGTTACTTAGAATATTCACGAGTTTATAATTATTTAGTTAAAAAGTGATAAAGTTCCATTGGTGCGCTTACCCTCAATAAAAGAGGTCAAGTCTTTCTTTCTAATGTTCCATCTAAAATTGTCTAGCGAGGGTCCCTGTCGATCACTTGAGGATAGTCTGGACCAAAGGTATGGGCCCAGTTACCCAACAGAGTGTTTTCCATAGATTAGTGTTGAGTAGCGTGGTTTATCAAAATCTGCATTTCTTAGCGAGTATCCTTTGTTTGCAAAATTGAAAAGTTCACCTTTGTACACTGTAGTCCGGGTCCAAACCATTTCTAACTGTATACATTAAAATTACAATCGCTTGAAGCCTCCTATTGTTGAGAGAGGGCATTAGTTTGCACCGCGTAGAAAATCTGTGTCTGTCCTACAAAAGTTGCGTCTATAACTGCGATGATCTTCTTTCATATAGTTCTTAACCTCGCAGTTCTCATACTGTATATGAATTAATTTTCATATATTCATAACTTCATTGTCTGTCCTACAGTTGTAAACTAGTTGCTATTACCTTTGTTAAAATTTGCTACCTTTCTGTCTCGAAGAACTAATTGAATCTCTACCTGATGATAGCCCTGCTAATTTCAAGCTCCGAGAAGTGTCCCACGGTGAGGTCCTGCGCGTGCTGAAATTGTTAAGATCTGACACGTCTACTGGCTCCGACGGTATCCCTGTCAAATTCCTTAAAATGGTGGCTGATTCCATTGCTGGCCCCCTCACAGCTATTATCAACAACTGTATCAGGAAATACTATTTTCCTAAGGCGCGGTAAGATGCGAGGATCAGTCCAATTCCTAAAGTAGATCAACCGAAGTCTGAGGAACACTTTCGTCCCATTTCAATTCTCCCCACACTGTCAAAAGTCTTTGAGAAACTTGTCGCGCTGCAGATGACCACCTTTTGTGAACCTGAATCAGTACTCGGCGATACAATTTCTAGCTTTCGTAAGAGACACTCGACCAATAGAGTGCTAATGGGTATGCGCGACGACTTGCTAAGAGCGATGAAAAAAAGGTGAGGTTACTCTCATGGTGCTGGCCGATTTCTCTAAAGCGCTCGACACAGTCATCTACAAGGTTCTCTTAACTAAGTTATCAACGCTTGGTTTCTGCGGTGGTTGAATAGCTACTTGAGTGACCAGTAACATTTCGTACCGATCGATGATCGTACATCTGAATTAGTGAACCTACGGTTCGGTGTGCCACAAAGGTCGATCCTCGGCCCAATGTTATTTAATCTTTACGTTTCCGATCTGCAAGATCATCTCCCTTCTTCGATTGGTTCATTTCAACGCGCTGACGATACTACAGTATACTCCAACTGTCCAGCTCCTGAGCTACAAAGATGTACGCAAGAACTAAACTCCACACTAAACACTGTGAGCTCCAAGCCAGATGTCACATGTACATAGTTTATATAAGAACTGACCAGCTATTACAGTCTCAGATAGTACATTAGAATACCATATTTATTCGAATAAGCGCCCAAACTCGAATTAGCGCCCACCTCGAATAAGCGCCCATCCTAAAGGCAGAAAAAGTTAATAAGCGCTCACCCCCACCTCACCCACTTGAGTAAATAAATTCTAATAACAGACTTCCCCGAGGACGGAGTTTTCTTCAGAGTATTTTACAGAAACCTTACTTTGTTACTTCTTCGCGTTTTGTTATTAGCATTTATTGTTTTGTTGCAAAATAAACATACTTCACTTGGTGAAAATGGTGAAAATTTAATAAGCGCCCAGCCTCGAATAAGCGCCCACTCTCAGGGTCCAAAAATTTAATAAGCGCCCAGGGCGGTTGATCGAATAAATACGGTATGTAAATGTAAGTAAGCTTCTTGGTGTCCATTTCCACCAGCATCTTAATTGGGATGAGCACGTGCAACCAACGTGCAAGAGCTGTTTCGGAACAATACACTAATAATAAGAAAGCTTAAGAACTTTGCCGGTTTATATAGTGGAGCCACTGGTGCTGTCAGAACTTGACTATTGTGACACTGGCTATTACCCTTTGCCGGAATTTCAACTAAAACGTTTACAACGTGTCCAGCTAGTAGCTGCTAGTTTTGTCCTGAGTAGGTATGTAAATGGCATTAACGATATTGTTAAAATAGGGTGGTTACCAGTAAGACAGCGAAGAGATTTCCACGTTCTCAAACTCGTTCACCAGGCTTTGCATTCCCCCAGCTGGCCGTCTTAGGTACCACTAGATTCAGTGAAACATCTGCGATCTTTGCGGTCAGGAGCAGCAACAAGATTAATTATACCAATGGAGAGGGGCACCTTTCAAGACTCTGCTGCCAAGTTATTTAATGTCCTTCTGGCAAATATTAGAAACTGTAGCGATTTCAAAGTATACTGTAGGGAAGTTAATGCCTATCTATTAAAAAACATTTGTAAGTAGTTTGTAAATTGCATATAGGGTTGTATTACTATTACTAATCTCTATTACATTTTTATACAATATCCTTTTATACTCCGATATTATTGCTTTTTATATTGTAGATTTCAATTTTATTTTTGTAGTATAATTCAGCGTGCAAAGAAAGTCATGTCCGATAGCCCGGGGCTAGTGGATTTTGCTATCGGGCTAGTGATTTTTGTTCTTAACTTGCCCGACGGGCAAGTGCTGTTTTTTAGGGGAAAATTCAAATTAGAAAAGGTTTTGTAATCAATCCTGCTAATCAAAAAGGGTTTGGGGGGTAGTTGAAATGACTTGTGGGCTAGTACATGCTAGCTACAGCTCGCCCGAATGGCGGGCTGTAAAACTGACTTTCTTTGCACCCTGTGTATTGTAGTTTTTCATTTTTTATATTGTAGTTTTTAACAGGTGAAGAGCCACTAGGTTTACACACTGTTAATAAACCATTATTATTATTATTATTATTATTAAAGCGCGTTCTTGCAGTCTGTCCATCTTTCGTCTCTCAGATTGCTTACAAAAATGCCATACAGTTTGGCAACACGACAGATGAGGAAGAGTTACTGTTAGGTACAGTTGAAGCTTGGTTTTACATGAGATTAGATTGCGTAGTCTTGCTAGCACCCCTGTTTTCCTACTCGCTTTTTTACAGATGTCGCTTATGTGTTCGGTGAAACTGAGCTGATAATCTATGTTTACTCCAAGAATTCTTAAATTGGCTGCTGTTTATACGGCAAGAGAATCTAAGCAGGATTGTTACACGTTTAAGATATAATTTTAGGCCTTGTTACTCTTCACAAGGTCTCGTACCGCCCCTCGCGATTTTTTTTCTACTTCTAAAGTAACACAGTTTAAAAGGCTTAGTACAACGGCTTTCTCTACGCGGGTAGTTGTGTGTTGAACCAGAAAATTGAAGAATAGCTAAAAAGAGGATTTTCATGTCCGCAACGGTGCTAGTTTTTCTTTCTTTTTTGATTTCTTGTAATTGCCTGAAGGACTTTACCATGTCTAAATAAAGTTATCTTATCTTATCTTAACATTGAACATGGGAGTTGCTTCTTTTTCACTTTACAAACTTGTTTAGCTCTAAATTTGGTAAATTTGACTATTTTATAGGAAACAAGAGCGCTCTTAGTAGCGTTGAGTCTCGCTTGCTTGGAGATGAGTTTTGTTGTCAAAGGGCCCGTTGCTGTTATACTACTTTTTCGTTTGGAATACAAAACAAGTGTTGTATGTCATAATGTATATACTCCTCAAAAAGTAAAAATTGCAAGGAGAGACAGGCCGCACATCTTAGCCTCAAACCGGTGTGAAGCCTTTTGAAAACCTACATATTGATATTGCTCCATTGAGAGTACTCTTTCAGGGATTTTACACTCGAAAAATTGAATGATGATTTTTATCGGTATCAGGGGCCCATGACACAGTTAATTCAGTTCGCGCGTAT